GGTTTTCTCGTCTTTTTCTCGCCGCAAGGCGTGGCCCTCCAGCATCTCTTCCGGTTTTTATTCTCAGCTTCTCTCGGTCGGATGACAATCGAAACTACTCCACCCCTTCGATAAAACCATGGGAGTTACAAATATAGGTTCTGTTTACCATGCGAATAATTATTCCCTTTTGCCAAATCTACAATTACATAGCTAAGAAAAGAAGGACAGTGCGCGCCCGGGCAGCTACTCAACACCCAGTGCTAAGACGACTGGCCGGCGGGAAGGATTTCCTCCTGGAAGGTCCAGGAGGGAATCCTCCTGCTCGGCGAGGTTGTACAGCTTCACCGACCAGGAGGATTCCCTCCTGGCCGGCGACAACCTTGACGGCCAGGAGGATTCCCTCCTGGGCCGGCGAGGTTGTACCGTCAACCCAAACCCCTTTCTCATTCTTGACCTTGAAACAGACCAACAGAACCACTCATCAACCAGGCGATCTGTCTCCAGCGAAGAAGGCCAAGAAAGTCAAGAAGGGGAAGGGTGCCATGCTTGGGCCCGAGAGGGCTGTCGATGCTGGGCCAAGTAGCTGGACATTTGTTGCGCTTGAGGAAGCAGAAGAGATCTCCGACCCGTCCACTGTACCCGATCCATCCCTTTCTGCTCTGGCAGTCTTGGCGAGCCCTCAGATCTCATTGGATGCCACCACCGATTTGGTCGTCCGAAAACGGCACAGGCCCGACAATGATCCATCTTCTGATCTCACCGGTATCCCCAAACGACCTTGGATTATCTTCGAGTCTGTTGGGGCTCTTGACACACATTGCTAACTTCTTGCCTCAAAACAAGATGAAACAGAAATTCTCGACACGCAATCATCATGATTCACTTAGTATTTGTGTTGTCTTCAGGTCTCTCGTTAATTTTCCTTTTGTTGATTTCTCAATGATAATTCCTTCATTCTTTTGAAATATCAACCTCCAGAGAATCTGTACAACATAGTAGCTTGTTTCTACATGTTGATGCGAGACTCAATTCTACTATGTGGTACAGAATGAAGGGTTCCGCCCAATAAAATAACAATGGGAAGAGAGATAAGGTATTTAAGTTGATCCTGAGAGATAGTACACTACAAATTATCAATATACAAGTTGAGGAATGAGTGTTCTCTTCAGAATCAATTGTCTTTGTTTTGAAATGAAGTAAAAGAAAGAAATGTGGTTTGAGGTTTATCTGATGAATGGAATATAAGTCGAGGTAGTAGACCGACAATCTACATAAGCTTTACCAAAAACTTGATCAGGTGAAGCTCTTCATCTAAAGAGAAGACAAGAAAAAGGTGAGTTAGTAAGTCAAAAGAGAGGGAGATTATTTGAAGGAAGGTAATTACTTTGAATGCAAGCCTTAAAGAAGCTCCACATGACGAGAGAGAAGAGGACAAGCGAGCAAGGATTAGCCAATAAAGATTCCATCCTGGTCGACGGTACAACCTCGCCGGCCCAGGAGGGAATCCTCCTGGCCAGCAAGGTTGTCGCCGGCCAGGAGGGAATCCTCCTGGTCGGCGAGGCTGTACAACCTTGCCGACCAGGAGGATTACCTCCTAGGCCGGCAAGGTTGTACCGTTGACCAGGAGGAAATCCCTCCTGGCCTGTTTTTTTTTTTTTTTTTTTTTGAAAGAAAAAAAAACTTTTTCTATTATTATTTTTTTTGAAAGAAAATAAAGCAACAATGAATGGGGCCGTCCTATAGGACCCATGCCTGGGTCCTATGGGACAGCCCTGGTCCTAAACGCATATAAATATGCGTTTAGGACCACATATGCATATATTTGGCGTGCAGGCCTGCACGCCAACTGCAGGCCAATCCCCCCTGCAGCAGATTGGCGTGCGCGAGGGGGGTTGGCTTGCGCTTATCAACCCCCTTATCCCACCACCGCTTCCGCCTCTGGTACGGCCGTTCCAAACCCTAGTTCCGCCTCTCTGTGCCCTCGGTCCCTCCCGCAGTACGTCCCAGCCCCAGCCCGCAGTCAGCTGGGAACCCCAAAGTCCGCCAGTGCCCGGATTCCCCACAGTAAACTCTTGGAACTTTGTGCATTCGACCCCGCTCCACTTTTCCACGCCTCGGAAAGCTTGACTTCCCACGCGCAGTTGCTTTCCTCCGCCTGCACGTGTAGTGTCAGCTCCACATGCTTTCCTCATCCACCGCGTGCATTCTGCACCTGCCCAAACAATTTGGCCAAAGCTTTGGCCCCAACACGCTCTCACCACCACAGTGGAACATCAGATATCTCTCTTCTTAAAACTAAGGATGAAAAGAAAGGAGAAATAAAAGGGAAGAGATGAATGAAGATGGAAATGGAGAGTGCCCACCTAGCTCAGAGCAAAAATGTAACCAAGCCAATCCCTGGATTGGTATTTATTGGGGATCAGATCAAAAAAGAGCCCTGATACTGGGTATTGGGATCCTGTTCCAATCCTGATTTATTGGAGAGCTGGGATTGGGTAGAGTGATCCAATCCCAATACCTGGTATCAGGGCTCTTTTCAATCCGATCCCCAATAAATACCAATCTGGGGATTGGGTTGGTTACCCTGTTGATGATACCAAAGCGTGAGGCACACAGCCCACAACTTGGCGAGCCTAACTAGGCCTCCACGGCGGGAGCGGAAGCGAGCAGCGGAGCTGTCCACGCCAGTGGAGGCCTATGCATAAGGCGACAATGCCCGCGTGCTGAGTTTGTGGATTTGGGTTGAAACCCTCAATTTTCATCTTTATCCCTTTGTAGCCGTCGTCTCATCGACATGTACATAATTTCCTTCCCAGGCCATGAAGGCCTGCTTCTTACTCTTCTTTTTGTGTCTTCAGTTTTTTTTATTTTGTGTCACCATCCTTGTAAGGGTACTTGAAAACAATCACTTTTTGACTTGAGTTACCAATGCTAAGTTAGATTGCCCCGCTTTTTGTATTTTTTTCTCAACAACTTGATTTTAATTTGTAAGGCAATTGAAATCATACCTGGCATAAAAATGTATAACATGACGGCTTGACCGTTGAAAAGATGGATGAGATCATTGGTCAGAGCCGGATAACACAAGTCGGTTTTGAACGAGCTGCCGTTACAAGCAAGCCGGTTCCGCTACTGGCAAGCTGGTTCCGCTACTGGCAAGCTGGTTCCGCTACTAGCAAGCCGGTTCCGCTACCTGGTTCCGTTTCCAGCAAGTTGATTTTGTTTTGAACAAGCCAACCGAGACGTTTTGAACAATCGGTGCTAAGTTTGAAGACACTGTAAAACACAAGCGTGCTCCCTGCAATGATGATGGCAGTATAGTTAAATCTCCAGTCAGTCGGTCTAGTCCACCAACCACCGGAGGGAGACCAGACTTCTGATATCGTGCCTGAACCCTTTTGAACGAGTCGATTCATCTTCTTTGTTGTAAACAAGGCTTTTCGAACAATCATCTTTTCCTTGTTTGTATTGACCGAGGGTTTGGTGTCGAGAGGAGTAGTACTGATTCCGATGAAACGATGACTTGCTGGATTTCAACCAGAGGCTGTAGTGTTGAGATTATGCTGGGTGATATGGGTTCCTTTTTTGTTTGTTAATTATGCAGATTATATACATAAGGTTTTTGACATAAAAAAGTTTATTGGGTGAGTTAGTCTACCCAACGGTGGGCCAGTTACACTAACCGTAGTGTTAGTGTAGCGTAGTGTTAGCTTTTTAAGCTACGCTACACAAAAGTTACTGTTAGTGGGAATTTTTGGCCCACTAACACTACAGGATTTTTGAAAAACAAAAAAACAACTTTAGCGTAGTGTAAGCTACCTTTAAAAAGGCACAAATAACACTACCCAAAATTCTGTTAGTGAAATTTTAGTGGTGTTAGTGTAACTTTTTGCAAAGTTACACTAACAGTTAGTGTAGTGGTACCCCCAGTTACACTAACTGTTAGCGTAACTGGTGAAAAAGTTACACTAACTGTTAGTGTAACTGATTAAAGTTACATGACCACATGACTAGCGCTAGTCTACCCTGAAGACAGTGCCTGATTGGGGGGCCTACATCCAGATCCCCTCAATTGATCATCATTTTTTTTCGGTTGGTACTGGGGGCCACTCAATTTTAGCCCCCTGCCATTTTTTAACACTAACTTGTAAGACCACATTCCCTTGTCAGACTACCTTAAGACCATGGGTTCAATTCCCCCTCTGACCATACTTTACTGGGTTCCATTCCCACACTTACTTGTGAAGTTGTGTTCAATTTCCACTTTCACATCATGCAGCAAGGGGGGGGGGGGTGTTGAGGTGTATGATAGTCTGCTACCATTATTTATCACCAGAGTGTGGTGGAGCTGTTGGCATGCGCCATGACAACTACCACCCAACTGACCTGGCAAACACAAGCATCTGTAGCCTAGTTGGTAAAGTAAGCACTCTTGTATGTGACTCAGCATTGCTGAGGTTGTGAGTTCAAATCTCACTGAGCACATCCTCATTTGTTTTTCTCCACATCTTGTGCTGTTCATTTTCTGCGGGATTGTGTGCAATCACGGGACATTGAAAATCGTTACCGTGGACCTCGGCCGTATCAGTCATATGAACATTTCACATAAGTTGTGCAAAAATCCAGCTTGACACATCAATTTCTTTAATTGATGAGTTACGCTACACTACATGTGTAGTGTAACTTCTAATGTAGTGTAGCGCAACTAGGCATGTAGTGTAGTGTAGTGTAGCTTAATTTGGTACAAGTTACACTAAATGTTAGCGCCAACTCAGTTACGCTGCTGGCTAGTGGAAGTTTTGTTAGCTTGGAAAAAGTTACACTACTTGTTAGTTTAGTGGCAATTATTTCAAGCTAACACTAAATAAAATTTGACAGAAAAATTTCACGCTACGCTGGCAGTTAGCTCAGCGGTGTGTAGCGTGAACTAACACTACATGATTTCCAGCAAAAAAAAAAGCAACTACGCTAACATGTAGTGGCCAAATAGCGTAGTGTAGCGTAGCGGCCCACCATTGGTCTACCCCAGGAGGATTTGCATACTCAAATTTTAGAAAATGATTATTAATTGCAGTTGCAATGTCCAACTTCTGAGTTTTGGCCTGATCAAGAAGATCAGGCTGGTCTTTCAGATTTCCGGCCCAAACATGGGGATAGTTTTGAGGGATCGTCATGATTTCAAATCTTGTGACGCTCCCACCAAAACACTAGGAACTCAGCACCTGAGTTTGTCGACCTCTGGCCCAAGTCTCCCCTGCGGGGAGTTCCCTTTGGGAACCGCCTGGCCAGCGCTACACTGCCAGATGCGCCCGCCGCAGCCAGAGACTTGTGTCAAGTTCAACAACTTGGGTGTTGGATCTGGATTGCAATGCAATCCCAATCCCAATCCAACATTATTTCAATCTGATACCTGGATCAATAGGGAAATTTAGTCCCTTATTTTTTGATACCTGGTATTGAAAAATTGATCCAATCCAACAAATCGGCTGATACATATTGGATTGGATTAGATCGGTTTCATAACTGCTCGGAGAGTGGTATGTCAGATATATTCACGGAGCTAGGGAGTTCTGGTTTGTCAGAATAAAAGGAACACTCAAGCTTATGAGATCTGTGACTTTTCATGGTGTGAACCCCTTGGACTGGGGGGGGGGGGCTTCACAGAGGGTCCAGCACTGCATCCTCTACCTACATTACCATTACCTGGAAGTGTGTAGGGCTTGTTCTGAAGTGTGTAATGTGGAACAGTTCCATCCCATTTAAAGCAATGATTAACTTGCAAATTTTCAATTATTTCCCTGTTACTTATCATTATGATTGACCCATTGCACCTATCAAAAATGGGACCATTGTGCATCTAGAAGTGTTTAAATTTTTCTCTCTTTGAATATTCTTTCCCTTTAATCATATCAACTCTCTAACTGGCTGCTTCAAACAAATAATAAACAGGTTTTATACGCAGTGCAACCAATTTAATAAAATGTGCAATGTATGCTTGATTTGGGATTTCAAAAACAGGGTTGATTCAAGTGCTGCATTCAATACAGTGACCCCACTATGTAAGCATAAGGATGGTTGACACAAATCCTATGCTTACATGGAGGTATGCTTCTTATGGAGGTAATTTTACTGCAAAACCAAGAACACAGTGGTTGCTGGAAATCAATATTGGGACTTAGTCAAACGACTTCCAAAATTTGGAGTTCTGACTCCCAAATTTTGGGGACGTCCTGAGGACTGTCTGCGGATGGTCCTCTGGACGTCAGGCCCCCTAATTTTTTTTCCCCCGTTTTTTGGGATTTGGACCTCCAAACCCTTTGATTGGTTTGGGAGTCGACTCCCTGATAAAATAATACTTATTATTATTTTTTTTCAAACCCCCTCGGGGGTTTTTGGGAGTCAATACTCCAAAACCCCATGGGGGTTTGGAGTCGGCGCTAAAAAAAAGAAAAGGAACGACCGGGAGAATTCTCCCGGCCGTTGACAGGCTGCACTCTCAATGGCCGGGAGAATTTCTCCACCTCTCGGCCGCCGAGAGTGTAACCTCTCAACAGCCGGGAGGAATCGTCCCGGCCGTTGAGAGTGCAGCCTGTCAACGGCCGAGAGGGTTTCTCTCAGCTGCCAAGAGTGTAACCTCTCAACAGCCGAGAGGGTTTGTCTCGGCCGCTGAGAGTGTAACCTCTCAACGGCCGAGAGGGTTTGTCTCAGCCGCTGAGAGTGTAACCTCTCAACGGCCGAGAGGGTTTCTCTCGGCCGCTGAGAGTGTAACCTCTCAATGGCCGAGAGGGTTTCTCTCGGCCGCTGAGAGTGTAACCTCTCAACAGCCGAGAGGATCCCTCTCAGCCGGTGAGAGTGTAACCTCTCAACGGCCGAGAGGGTTTCTCTCGGCTGCCGAGAGTGTAACCTCTCAACAGCCGGGAGGAATTGTCCCGGCCGTTCCTTTTCTTTTTTTTTAGCGCCGACTCCAAACCCCCATGGGCTTTTGGAGTATCGACTCCCAAAAACCCCCATGGGTTTTTGGAGTATCGACTCCCAAAAACCCCCAAGGGGGTTCGAAAAAAAAAATAATAAGTATTATTTTATTAGGGAGTCGAAACCAATCAAAGGGTTTGGAGGTCCGACTCCCAAAAAACGGGGGAAAAAAAATTAGGGGGCCTGACGTCCGGAGGACCGTCCGCAGACAGTCCTCAGGACATCCCCAAAATTTGGGAGTCGGAACTCCAAATTTTGGGAGTCGATTGACTAAGTCCCTCAATATTTATGCTATGCTTACAACGCGGTTATGCTTATATTGTATATGCTTACAAGGCGGGGCCACTGGAATGACAACAGCAAGTCCCCCAAAAAGGGCCCTGAAAAGCCACAAATACAATGTGCTCCATATGTCAAGTACTGTATTTTGTTGTACCACTATCAAGATTCAAAAGTTGGACTTGTCTTTTGAAAGTCATACACTGCATGAGTTAGACATCTGCACTAAATTTAGTGTCAGCTTAATACCACTAACACTATGGATTCTGCTATTAAGGGACTAACACTAATAGATGTCATTACAGGATTGGTTAGCTTTTGAGTTGGCACTTTAGGTCCTGGTAGTGTAAAGCTTATATGAAGCTACTGAACTCAATTCCTCTTGAAAACCTCACAGTGGCCCACCACTGTACACACTCCCACAAAACAAAGCAAAAAAATAACCATGGTTATCTAGATTCTTTAACACAAGTCATCAGCTTACCATTGCACTTTCTCAGGGGTAATAGTCACTGTAACCCAACAGATTTTCTTCTGGCTTAGTACCTTCTGGTCAAAACATAAGATAGGGACTGGCATAGAGGGGACCCACTTCCAAGTTCCAGTTCCACTTGAAATTAGCCTGTAATGAAAGCAGTTCTGCCTGGGTTGGGGACATTGAATTTAATCTGAGATGCACACTGTCAACAGGCAAGAATGTATGAGTTAGGCATGACACTCTTGACTATGACAAGAAGATTATTAAGCAATGACATGTATATGATAATCATATTGTCATCAGTTTGGATGAAAGATAGAATTGTAAATCTCAATGATAATCTATGCATAAGTAATGGTAGATAGCACAAATCAAACATACACAGATAACTATTTGAGATTATGAGTTATTAATTGGATGACTCAATCCTCAGAATAACTCAAAGATATGAGTATGGTGTTCAAGATTGAATATCTCAATTGCTACTCAATGCTACCTGACAACATACTCTGAAAATTTGGCTGGGGCCTGCCAATTTGAGGTTTAAGTATGCTGACATCTGTGTGCCAAATATGTCTTTCTATCATTATAAATATTCATACTAACCTTTCCATATTCAATTTTGAACACCATAAAGGCTACAATGATCATCAACTATCTGAGCTAACAGATGATTTAGCTATGATTTGATTGTCTTCTACAAATCCAAAACCTTCCAAAGGCTGTGTCAATAATTAAGAGGAAGACCTCTTGGGAGTGGTTGAGTTTCTTCCTTCCCCAGTGTTAAATAATAAGAAATTTTTACCGTAGAAATTCTCCCTCTAATTTGAAGAGCATTCACTAACACATTCATTTATGATTAGAAATACCTCTTGAATCAGATTAGAAAACCTAACATTATACCTTTCATTACCATCTCCCATCTCAACTGGTACAAGTTTTGGTAAGTTGAAGTGCTACCCATTGCTTTCATATATTTATTCCCAATCCAACCAGGTTGAAGATTTGGATTGCTCTGGCTTTATAGCTTCAGGAAGCTTGAGTAAGCCTCAGTTACATAGTATTGAGCCTTGAATCTATACATCTGATTGAGATGTCCACTTCCATTACTAGTATGTGTCCACAACTAGTAGAACACTGCAGTACTATGTAAGTAGGATAACACACACACACACTAGTTAAAATGGGTTGAGCTGATCTGATGAAATATGATACAAGGACATTCTCCCTTGTATTATAGGTTTAGCTTCACCGATTTTTGATCAGGATACCTTTGACCCCAGCCATTTTTGTTCTGGCAGTGTAGGGAAAAAACATAACTCTGGAAAATCACAACAACAAACTTTAGCAATCAACATTTGGTGCCCATAATATGAAAAAGAAGCAACAAAGGAAGAGTGTCCAGACATAGTTTTAAGCAGAGATCCTCCACTATACAAGACTGTTGTGATTTCAATCTGTGGGACAAAAGAGTAGATCTTCAATCATTTTCAACCTCAAAGTAGCTGTTGTCAAACTAGCTGTGTAAAACTAAGGTTATCTAAATTGGTTAATCCAGAAGGAAGTCCTCAACATAATTTGCCTCTGAAAATCAATTGATGGCCAGTTTTCACCAGCCAATAGGGGTTTAGCTGGACCCCCTTCTAAATCAAGCAATTTTGATCATGGAAAGTTCTTTAGTGAGGGCCAGAAATTGAATATAAATAGGTAGTGTAGCAATGAGCATCCCATCACATACATTTTTACTGGGGTTTTCTTAAAAAAATCAAAGGATAGTTTATGTTCTTGTCCTTCAGAATTGAGAATAAATGATCTTTCAAAGTTGCACTTCATTTGACATGTACATATGTCCGATGAATTATCCGAATCCTTTGTTTTCAAACGCGTTCGGCTAGCTAACTGGTAAATTCAGTGATCCGCTTCCAACTGAAATCCTTTCATGCAGGTTTCGGAGAGAGAGAGCTAGGGATCGGATGTGTGTGATAAGGATCTGGGTGGATATTGGCGGGTAGAAGTTAGCTGAAGTTAAGACGACGACGGTTGGAAGTTGGAACAGCAACAACATCGCTTACATAATCTGCATCATCATCATCCTGGCTTATTAACCAAGCTTCATACTCAGCTCAGAAGGTTTGCGCAGAAAAACAGCCCAGCTGAAAAAAAAAGAGAGAGATGTCCAGCTCCAGTTCAACACCGCAAAGCCAACAAACCACCACCACCACCACCACCACTCAACAAAAACCACCACCACCACCAACCGACCAGGACTATCAGAGCAGGGAGACCGCCAAGATGGTCCCATTCCCGATCAACACCCCACAACTATTCACACCCTCATCCAAGCCGAACACGACGAGCACCAACGAGCCAGCCAACCCCAGGAACGCGTTGACACCACTCAAGGACACTAACAACCGGCTGGAGAGGATGCAACAACAACAACCAGCAGCCGGACAATCGCAGCCGGCCGGCCACAAACCCTTCGTCCATCCTCCCCCCTCCGTCGAACCGACCATGTCCGAACTCCTCGCCGCCTCCGCTAACATCCCCGGCATCCCCGCCTTCAACAATGACGGAGCCGGCTTCATGAGCGACGTCAGAGGCGATAATGGTCTCGTTAGTTGGCGCAAAGGCCAGGGCTTTCGCGCCTGGGAATCCGCTATCCTCGCTAATCCTGAAGTCCAACGTAAGGCTAATGTCGCCCAACTTTACTTCTACGATCATTGTGAGTGCCCCCTTTTTTGGTTATGAAATCGTATATCAATAATCCCACCACCAGAGTTGTCCCCCCCCCCCCCTGTTGAAAATTGATAAGAAAGCTGATTTTTGATGGCTCTTACACACGCACCAAACAAACAGACTTTGATCTGCTGACTTACTTGAATGGACGCAAGAAACGCTTGGCGTTATTCAGAGAGACCTCGACCCGACCGGAGATAGATCCAGGCCAAGCGGGGATGGAGTGGCGATCGTACTGCGGCCGGGAACGGGCATTACTCCGGAAGCGACGGACGAAGCTGAAGCTCGATTCGTTCCACATCATCGTCCAAGTAGGGCAGGGCGGGTACGGGGAGGTGTATCTGGCGCGACACAAGCTATCGAAGGAGGTGGTGGCGTTGAAGAAGATGAAGAAGAAGACGCTGTTGAAGATGGACGAGGTGCGGCACGTGTTGACGGAGCGCGACATCCTGACGGCGACGAGCAAGTCGGATTGGCTGGTCAAGTTGCTCTACGCCTTCCAGGACCCCGACTACATCTATCTGGCCATGGAGTTCGTCCCCGGCGGCGACGTCCGTACCTTGCTCAACAACTCGGGCGTGCTCAAGGAAGAGCATGCCAAGTTCTATGCCACGGAGATGTTCGTGGCAGTCGACTCCCTCCATCGTCTGGGTTACATCCATCGAGACCTCAAGCCTGAGAACTTCCTCATCGACCGGTCCGGGCACATCAAACTCACCGACTTCGGCCTCGCCGCTGGCTCCATCAATCCCGGCAAAATCCAGTCCCTCAAACATAGACTCGACGAGGCTAAGGACGAAAACCTTCAGCTCTGGAGATCCACCGTCGAGATGAAGACGATCTATAAAACTCTCAGACTGCAGGAGCCTAGATATGCCGATTCGATCGTCGGCTCACCCGATTACATGGCCATCGAAGTCTTGAGAGGCCAAAGCTACAGCTTTTCAGTCGATTAGTTGAGTTCCTCATCCAATGATGATCCCCACTTGATGTCTAATTTACAACTAAATTTTGATGATGAAAACAATAGCTGGTCATTAGGATGTATTTTATTTGAGTTCTTATCGGGATACGCGCCCTTTGCGGGCTCGAGTCCGGAGGAGACCTGGGCGAACCTGAAGAACTGGAGCAAGGTTCTCCGCCGGCCACACTACGACAAGCCGGAGGACCAGATCTTCAATCTGTCCGACGAGGCCTGGCTGGCTATCGTCGCCCTCATCAACGCCAAGGAGAAACGCTGCTCGTCCATCGAGCAGGTCAAGAAACTCGGCTTCTTTGCCGACTTGCAGTGGGATGATATGCGCCAAGTCGGCCCGCCTTTTATCCCCTCTTTGGACTCCGAGATCGAGTCTGTCTTTCATTCATTCTGTCCCCTCTTTTCCCCATAACAAAAAAAAAAAAAAAACTAAACTAAAACTGATACATCGTTTGATTCTGTACCCCCCCTTCCAAAACAAAAAAAGTGCGGGATATTTCGATGATTTCGGGAACCCAGAAGAGATGAAGAAGTATGGGGAAGTGTTTGAGAAAGCGCGCGCGGTGGAGCTCGTCCAAGAACGGGCCGAGGCCGGCGGGCCGCACAAGAACAACTGTCGCGGGGTCTGGGTGGGGTTCACGTTCAAAGGCGGCAAGACCGCCGAGCTCTTGCGCGGCGCCGTCCCCTCCGACCTCCCTCCCAATCTCGCCCCTTCTTCTGCCGCTTCCCTCGCTAATCCGTTCCGCGAATTCGGCGACGACGATGTCCTCGAATGCATGTTCTGATCCCTTCTTCTCTTACTAACTAACCCCCCCCCCTTTTTTTAGTCTCTTTCAGTTTTACTCGTGTATCGTCTCTCTCTCTCTTTCTCATGCATTCTTCCGTGTTCATTAATCTCCACTCTTCTTCGTTCTGGACGACTTTATAATGAAGTTGGACATCCCCTCTTCCCTCTCATACATTCATTCACTTATTTATTTAATTTAATTTATTTCTTAAACTAAAAAAAAAGAAAACATGACATGGTTTTAATTTATGATTTGTTTCTAGCGTATCATCGTCACTCTCCATTCTTCCCTTTTTTTCTCTTAAACGTCGAGTCCTTTCTTCTCTTGCCTACCACACAAAACAATATCGATATTGATATCGATATGACCGTCGATTTTTTTTTTTCTTTTGTACATATAACTTATATATGTACATACAAGAGTTTTGTTTTTTTTTTGTTGCCGTTTTGTACATCTCATCGCTTCGCTACGATAGTCAATTTATTTCCTACATATTTATTTATTTATAATGACTGAAATGAGAATCCGACTTCTTTTAGTGATCATCCATTGAAAAACAATAGGTCACATATGGGAGTGTGGTTCTCCGATCGAATGGATCTCTGTAATCCTCTGGAAAAAAATACTTGTGCTTTGAAGAGTGATCTGGAGGAGACTATGTATTGTATCAGACAAAGAGCTGATTTGTACGGTGCCGGACGACAGTTGTCTCCTTGGGCGACCGACCTCGATGGAGCCGCGAACTTAACACAAGCCCGCGTCCCTGCTGCGGCGTGGTGCACTGTAGCCGCTCGTCGAGTGTGCAAGCACTGAGGACTCTCCCGCAGGGAGAGGACTTGGGAATAACCGGAGTGTGTTGGTGTGGGGCAATCTTCAACTTTTGGTGGTGAAGGTTGTCATTCCTCCATATCTGCACCAATTTGAACCTAGTTTTTTTATCCTTTTCATCAACAAAGCTTACACATATTCTTGTTGATCCTGCCAACTCAAAATTTGGACCTCACATCCCCATCATGCTTGTTTCAGCTTCTCAAATGTCGAGTATTGCAATTTTTATTTCGCCACTTATTGGCATAAACATTTTTTTTACTTTTGCTCTTTTTTTCATACCTCTCCTCTTTTTTTCGGCATTTTGGACTTTCTGGTATAACACTCCATCATAACGATATTCTTTTTTTCACTTGTCAGCCGTTATTGCTTCATCCATCCCCATTCCGCATACATCGAACTCCAACTCCAACACATACACAACCAGTTCTCAAAAGCCTATACATCCCAAAAAATGCCCCGGCACACTTCTACACAACGAAAGAACCAGACACGATCAGAACACAGCAAGCTTACCGCGATATGCCAACTGATTTCGCAAATGGGTTACACCCCAAAATCACTTCTTGCGGCCTTCTTGACCACTGACAATCTTCCGATTGCAGTCCAAAGACGATACTGGTCTACCCCAACCGGATGGCCCTCTACCTTGCGATTACTAGGAACAATTCGAAATTTTTCCTGCCAAAAACGAACTGGAAAGGCTCGATGGGAGAATTTTATCCTGGAAGAGGTATTGTCTGTTATTTATTTATTTTCTTTCTTTTTTATTTTAACTATTTACTTACCGACCTCTTTGGTTTTTTAATACTCATCAAAACTAGGCTAGCAAGGTTGTGAACTCTCAGAAGCCACCAAGGGGTGCTTACCCGCAGGGCGCTTACCACAATTCCAAGAAGATCTCAGCATCCCTTTTTACAAACGAGTCCAAACAAGCACGGGATCAGGCACTTGCGACCGAGCACATGCCTTTTCTTTTCGATCTAATTTTTTCAAAGCTCAAAAGACCAACAATCGACACCGTGAGCCCCATAAATGGCGAGCAAGAAGATTCAGACAAAGGAAGCGATCACGTCCCCGAAATCGACTTGCAAGGCGATGAGATGGATCCAAACAATGATTTTAATATCAACACACCAGTTGACCATAATGAACGAGCTTACACGGTAAGTTTTTGGGGGTTTATTTTATCAAATACAATTCACTTACTTCTTAAATTGTTATGTTTCTATACAGGTTGCGAAGACCATATGCTCAATGGTTGCATTTGTAACTAATCGGCGAAATAACGGTGATCAACTAGCGAATTCATTAACTTTTCTTTCAAGTGGGGTCACCGATCGCGTCAACATATTCTTAAACTATATTGGACTGACTTCCTCTAGAAAAACTGCTCACCATGCCTTGAACCACCTCAGCCGCCAAGCCGAGAATCGAATTTCAAGCAAATTGGCTAAATCCCCAGCAAAAAATTTGGCACCCTTTCTGTGTGTCGATAACCTTGATTTCAAACAACGAATACACACCAAATCTATGGGACACGCAAGCCAGATGTTCCACGGGACTTGGGGCTACATCCATCACCCCAGCCCCGAACTTATCGCATCGGTTCCGGTTTCAGATCTTACAATCGAAAGCTACTACCACGCAATGTCGAAGGCATCCACCTTCGATGTTCATTCCAAAATGCTCCTACCAACACCCAAAGAAGAAGTTCACTGGGAAATGGTATTGAAGAGCCAGATCACTGAAGCGCTTCTTGGCCATCTTGCCTCCCCAACTGAATCATTTGTCTCGATTCCCACGAAACCCCCAATCATCGATCAATTATCAAATGAGCGGCCCGACATCACCATGCTCAAACTTATGATAGCCTCAGATAATTCTGCTCAGGGAGCCGGCGAGGTTTTTGAATCTATTTCCCATCAATCAACACTACCAATGACTAAATTCTCCTCTCGGCTTCAAATCGTCGATGGAGATCTTGGTACTTGTACAAATGTCACCAGTTTACGGACTCAGCGTGTACCAAGCGATCACAAGGAAGACAGTCTATCTAATATTGCGACCCTTTTAGGGGGGGCACATACTATGTGGAATGTTGCTCAAGCGATCTACTCGAAACATTTTGGAGATAGCTCAGACTCACGTGACTCGGGTGCTTGGCGATTTCTTGATAGCCTAGGTATTCCTTCACACAAGATGCTTGAAAAGAAAGACTTCACACTTATGATAAAAAATATCGAGAAGATTCACAAAGCAACCCTGGTGTATTGTTTAATGTGAGCATCTCATTGTTTTCAAAGTTTTTCCAACAAATTGACAGACTAAAGATACTATTTAAATATGCTTTCTGTTTTTGAAGGGTTGTCATGGGAAACGAAAGTGCTAGTCTGACCGAGGAGCTTACTCCAATGTCAAGTTCAAGAATCCAAGATGTTGTTGAGGAAACCTACTCGCGATTCTTCTCTGCCCAGGCAAAACTCGATGCTACTCTTCAACCTTCTCCAAAGCTATCAAATCTGATCCTGCGGCTAGCCGATTTCGCAACCGTTGTCGAGGGAGACGCTGCAATGAAAGCAGGCAATATCGGCCGTGTTATGAATGTTTGGAAGCGATGGGCTGTCCTTGCCCAGGGAATCAAGAAATTAACACAGTACTCAATTCAACTTCCTCGGATGATTTTACTTCTCAATGAAGTTTTACCTCCCGGACTCGGACATATCCTTAAGCATTCGCTGTTTGTAGCTCCCAGTGGTCGCCAGAAGCATTTTGTGGCCAAGGATCAATTTCTCGAGTCGCAAAATTACTGGTTGAAACATTTTTTCAACAACACCGGCCGAGGCACTAATATCAATCGGCTCAAGAATACTTATTCACTCAACGTTCCTCTGGTAAGTGACTACCATTCCAGTCAACGGAAACAGATGCTAATACTCATTGGTTTATTTCTCAGCTTCAAGAGTTAGTACATGGCTTGTTAGCTGACTCTGGAAAGAAGACAGTCTACCAATCACACAAAAATCGGATCAACTTGAGATCGCTCAACAACTGTCTACGAATGTGCCGCGGAAAAGATGTATGCTACACTGCATCAAAGCTTGACGAACATGTCCCAAAGAAAGTTGAGGACTTTTACGATGTAGGAATACAAAAAATGAAAAAACTGTTTGTGACTAAAGGAAAACCCCTCAATAAACTTCGACCACCACCTATGAAGATATGGAGTACCACCATCGACGAGGAACTAGAAAAAGAAAATGATGATTCAGATGTCAGTGTGGATGGCGATGTTGAACCAGATGTAACGGACGATGAGCTTCAAAGCAATCAAGAAGACGAAAACGAAGATGATGATGATGAGGTTCAAAGCCATCAAGAAAGCGAAAATGATGATGACACTGACCATGAAAATGAAAGTAGCGATTGATCACCCATTTGGATCAAGGTCAGGATCGATTCTTGCTCTCTTGGAAGCGTAAAATTCCTTGAGCCCTTCCAATACAATTTTATCGGCTTCCCTCTTTCTTTTCGATGCCTCACGGTCTCTCACTGCCTTTTCTTCCTTCCTCAATTTATTTTCAGCACGGATTCGTTTATTCTCGGCAACTTGGCTTGCGCTTGGTCTTGGTTTGGTCACTCGCGTTTTTGCTGGTGGTAGTGCGGCTAGATTCGAGTTTGATGGCGCCGATTCTGTTTGCAGGACTTGGTCTTTCAGTGGTGAAGTTGTAGTAACATTTGATAGCGATCCGGCAGGGTCCATTTGTTTTGGTCCTGAAGATTTGTTTGGTACCTTTTTCTTCAGGTTTTGAATTCGTTCCATCTCATTTCCAATGAATTTTTCATAATCGTCTAACTCTTTCAAGTACGCTTGGTAATCGTCCCCTTGTTTGAAGTTTTCAATGGATACATCTAACATGTCTAACTCGCCTTCTAATGCTTCACCGCCAATTAGCTTCGCAATATCAGATTTATTCTTAACCTTATCAAAATTTGTTGCAATGGCATTTGCTTCAGTCAATCCAAAGATTTGTTGAGGAAGAAACGATCGAGGCTTGCCGTACACGTCAGCAAAGAATTTGTTGAAGCTGCTAACAAGTGTGGAAGAGAGCTTCTGCATAAGGAGGCTCAGTTTTTTAGGCTTTGGGCGACGGGATCGTGTGGTTTTCTTTTTGGGCTCTTCATCGGGAATCTGCCCAGGTAAGAGGGTTTGGTCTAAGATGCTATCAAAGTTACTCAGATTCATTTCTTTCATTTGCGCCTTAAGAATTTTTGCCTCATCCGGTGCACAGTTTGAGCATCTACACAATGGGAAGCCCTCGCGTTCTTCGCGGGCTTGTTCGTGAAGATAGTTCAGGTCGCCGTGATCCATTGGTATATAGCCATATCTAAGATTCAATTAATCAGTACAATTTGTTACAGTAAGGCATTGAAAGTGGCGAACTGACAGATTATCACATGAAAAAGCTATCCGGAGGCAGACTGGAGTGATTGCAAGGGAATCCATCCGGACATCATTGGATTCCTTGTCGGCTCCTGCAATCGCTTCCAGAGTATTCAAGCCAAACTTCCGTTTCGGTTCCATGAAAAGGACGGCCAACCCCGGCTTGCCATCGCGCCCACAGCGTCCAATCATCTGGCAAATACACGAGGGGTCGCCGCGGCCCATATGTATCACCCGTCGAACCCGCTTCCAGTTCTGGCCCAGCCCCAATGCCATGGTGCAGGAGATACAGGGAAATTTACCAGCTTCGTAGCCAGTAATTGTATCTTCCTTATCCATATCACCTGTACAGGCATGATACCTCCGAATCAGTTGACTTCTGGGATTATATTCTTCGCCACTAGTACCTCTCGCGTTGTTGACGACCTTCATAACTTGAAAGGTTGCGTTCCTTGTACCAGAGTAGAGCAGAGTGGGTACAATCTCGCTTGATTTGATATCTTCTTTTCTTCCAAACATCGACATGAGATCTTTGGCCGACTTGAGCGAGGATTGCATAGGATATCGAACAATTCGAATCTCTGGTCGGGTAAGCTCTGCTCGGACAAAATTAACAGTTTCTTCAGGGATTTTTAGGCTCTTGAGGATCTCGGTGACAGCTTTCGGACGGCAAGTTGCAGATAGGAATAGAATTGGAGTGTCCTCGGTGGCCATTAACTGACGGCCCATGTCCCCATACGATGGCCGAAAGATCGATCGATCCTGATGTCGTTTGTGCGCGGACGATTTTTTTGCTTGTTTGTTAGCAACAAGCCCCCAGCTGTATATCATGTGCGCCTCGTCTACAACAATCAAGGCAAGTCGATCTTGGAACTTGGTGTTGTGGTAAACATCGGTGAACATCTGGTTGTTCAAGAACACCTCGGGACTTAAATAGACAAAATTGTATTTTCCCTTTAGAATGTCGTCGGCAACATCCTGGTCAAAGGTGAGTTTTTTCAAATTGATTGCTGTGTATTTCTGCGAAATCTTTTCCTTGACTTGATTATCACCCAAGGCATCGAGAGGGTTCAATACGAGAACGACGGCCTTCTTCGATTTGGCGAAGAGATGATAGTACATCTCGGAGATGCGCGACTTGCCACAACCCGTTCCAGCCATGACAAACGTGTGTTTCCCGCCGACTAGACTTTTTACGGCGTTGACTTGGACTTTCTTCGGCGGCTCGTTCGAAGGGTAGCGCGGTAGACAATCATCAATGATTGCTTGGTGTAAGTTGTCCTGCTCCATTCGCCTCCATTGCTTCGATAGCCGGACTTTGGTTGATTTATCCTTTGTCGGCGGCATTCTGCGACTTTCGAGTCGCTTTTAAGATTCGATACCAAAAAGATCAATACCGAGGGCACCTGCGAGGTGTTATGTGGCTTGGGTTTTTCGTTTTCTTTCGGTCGATTTCTCGCTGTTGACCTTCTTTTCGTTTTTTGTTGTTCTTTTTCTTCTTTTTGTTTTCTCTGTCGATCTCTTGACCTGTTTTTCGTTTTGTGTTTTTCGTTTTCTTCTTTTTTTTTCTCTGTCGATCTCTCTCTCTTGACCTCTCTCTCTCAATCTCTCTCCGTTATCCTCTCTGTTATCTCATAAGTTATATTACATGTTATGATCTGAGTTTTGTATTTCAACGGTCAACTGACCAATTAAGGAAGTAATTAAAAAAAAGAAAACAGTAAAGGTCCGATTAAAATACAATCGGACCCTTATTTCAAAAAAATGTACGGCTTGAACAAATTTTTTCGGTAAGAATCCGAACAGACAGAAAGATAAACAGGATGCTAAAGTATTGCTGGGAGGGAGTAGCGAGAGCGGGAAAAATTAGAACGATTTTAAAATTGAAAAAAAAATAACGCTACGCTTATTCTGGACTTAGCCTCATGCAGACTTGTGTCCGTCAGGCATAAGCCCCGCCTGCACCTCACGCCTACGGGTGCTCGCGGGCTTTGTTACGCTCGATGGAGCCGGATCTCGATTGAAAGTTGAGGAGCTGATCTCTTCGGGCAACCACAGGGCCCTCTCTTCTGTTTGCACAACCGGGGACACCTCGTCGCCAGAAAAAACAAAAACAAAAAAAACCGTGCCTCTATGTGTAGTCTTCCCCGCAAGCCGGGACTCCCTCGCATGACTTCATCATCCGTGATCATCGACGTCAGCTCTATAGTCGTTCAATCACACTCTGGATCATCACTGTCTACTTTTTAGCCCGCGCGGGAGGGGGGGGGGGGATGGAAGTCGTCTTCCTCCTCCTTTTTGTGTCTGTGTTTTTCTTTGATTCTCGTGGGTTCATGATCACCGTCTAATCTCGCTTGGAAAAGAGAGACAGAGAGAGAGTCGAGAGAGTCTCCAGCGATGTTAGATGGACCAGGGCGGACTGCTTGCTGATGGCCAACTTCATGTGCCTTCATCTTGGGTTGTTTTCAGGGGGATGAGCCAATGTGCTGTGCACACCATGGGATCCCAGCCGACAGAGGATGTTTCTTCTTTCAGGCATGGTCCTTATTATGTAGAGGAGCTGGTGATCATCACATTCATTGGCCCGCGCCGTTCAACGGCTCTGGCTATGTAAAGTGGCCACGTCATTGTCGTCCGGCAGCTGCTTTCAGGGAACACTACAATGTAAGCAGGAACATGACAATGTATTAGAAGGCTCTATTGATCTCGGCGGGTGCTCTCGAGACTGCTGATTGCCAGGCTCATCGAGCTTAACTAATCCTCTTGTGACGAGAGTCGTTTGCGGGCAGGTCTGGGCGGCAGCCCAGTCTCGTCAGAGAGGCTTACAACGTATTACTCAAAGCCCACATGAGGCAGGCATGATTTTGAGGTCCTTTTTTGTGTTTTCCCCTCTGTTTTTGATGTTATTGCTCTCAAAATTTCATTGTGCTTTTTTTCTTGTTCTATGACATCTCCTTGATCTATCTGTATTTTTTCATATTTTTATTTCCATACCAATCTTTTTTAAAAGAACAAACAGAAAAAAGACAAATTCTCATTTTGCAGGCATAAAATATGCTTATACTGAGAGTGCGCTCGAGCCTCTCTGCCAAATTTCCAAATCAAAGTTCAAAATCATGAACTTCACTGCATGTTTTCTACCAGAACCAAACTGGTTTTTGCAATGAAAAAAATATCTAAAAATCTGGATTACGTAGATCTTTCATCCACTTAATGTAAAAATAAATTTGAGTTGTAA